CCTGGTGAAGGGGGATCCTAGTAATCATAATGTTCTTCATGTAATTGGAGATTAATGATACCAAAATAAATAAAATTAAAAATTAAAAAAAGGGAACCCTTATACACTATTAGTGGGGATGTAAATTGGTACAGCTATTATGGAAAGCAGTATGCAGGTTCCTCAAATTAAAAAAACAAATACCATACAACTTAGTAATCCCACCTCTGGGAATTTACCTGAAGAAAACAAAACCACTGATTAGAAAAGGTTTATGCACTCCTATGTTTATCACAGCAATATTTACAATAGCCAAGATATGGAAGCAACATAAGTGTTCATGGACAGATGAATGGATAAAGATGATGTGGTACATGTAATTTAATTCACTCAGCCATAAAAAGGAATTCAATCTTACCATTTCCAACAACATGGTTGATCCTGGAGGGCATTATGCAAAGCAAGTAAGTCAGACAGTAAAAGACAAATACTGTATTTCACTTACATGTGGAAACTTTAAAAAAAATGAAAACAGAAATACTCATAAACACAGAATAGACTGGTGGTTGCCATTGGGAAGGGCAGGTGAAACAGGTGAAGGGGAAAAACAGGTATAAACTTCCAATTATAAAATAGTCAAGGGATGAAAGTACAGCATAAAGTATTAATATAGTCAATACTATTGTAATTATCTTATTTGTTTTGTTAACTTGTATGTATATACTTATCTTCGTATGACAGATGGTAACTACACATTGTGGTGAGCATTTAGTAATATACATAATTACTGAATCACTGTTATACACCTGAAACCAATATTGTATAACACTATTTCAACTTAAAAAAAGACAAATATTATAATCTTTAATAAGACTACATACAGAACTAGCAGACTAACAAAGGTTACAACATCAGTAATTTATATTATAACCTCTAGTGTAAGAATATATTACTAGGCTAACAGAAGGTAACATAGAAGTTAAAAGAAAAAAAAACGAGGAAGGTACTTAAGCAACTGGGTACTATAGAAAACATAGTAAAATGGTAAATATGAACCCAAATGTAGCAGCACTTACTTTAAATGTAAAAGGGGTACAAACACATTTACTGATTAAGGATAGTATATTAGATAAAAGAACAAAAGCCAAAGTATATGGGGATTACCACAGACACACTTTAAATACAGAATGTATGAAAGTATCATGATGAAAAACATGCATCACATAAAAACTAAGCAAAAAATGTCCACAGTTAAGACACAAGGAACTGCAAGACTCACAAAAGGAAATTGCACATAGAAATATGTCAAGAAAATAAGGCAAACTGTTAGGTTTTTACATATAAGTATCTCAAAACTCTATCCCTCACTCTATCTAACAAGAGAAGTATTTCATTTTAATGTAGCTGATATAAATAAAGAGAAAACTACTGCATGTCCAGGGGCCATTAAGTTTTACTAACATAAGGAATTCTTACTTCGAGCTAGTGATAGATGTGGTAGGTTCCCCATCTGCCAATGCACATCAGACAGAACAAAAGAGGAAAATAAGTAATGATGGGAAGGGTTGAGGCATTTTCTAATGTCAGGAACATTAAAAGGAGCAAGCCAAAACTGTCTTAGTTTTAGGATCCAAGCTTCAAGCGAAAAGTTCAGTTAATCTCACAAATAAATTATTTTAAGTAATTTCAAGAATCTCAATCTCCTTATAATATCCTTGAACTCTCATTGTCTCCAAATTGTGCTGAACAGTTACATAACTTCAGAAAAAAAAGAAAATTGAGTTTATTAACATACCATTATTAAATAAAACTAAGAACCAACTCTTGTTTTCAGAATACATTTGTCCCTTAAACTTAATATGGTTTATGAACTGTGCAGGTCAACTTACATGCAGATTTTTTGAATACAGTAAATACATTTTCTCTTATGATTTTCTCTAGCTTGTTAAGAATATAGTATATAATACATAGAAATACAGAGCATGTGCTTATCAACTGCTTATATTACCAAGGCTTCTTGTCAGCAACAAGCTATAAAGTTTTGTAGGTGTCAAAAGTTAGACCCAGATTTCTGACTATACAGTGGATTGGCTTCCTTAACCCCTGTGTGGTTCAAGGGTCAATTGAATTAATAAAATATTTCACTTAGCTCCTCAACTTCCTTTACGTCTTTTTCTTAAATAACTACTGGGACTCCCACTTTCAAGTAGAGCAACTGTACTGTTCTTCTTGCCAAGTTCAACTATAAACTTTGGATATATATATATAAAACAAATATAAGGAGACTGAAAAGTTGACTGAACATAGCAGACTAGATAGGAACTTCAGACCAATGGAAAAAAATAATGGTGAGTTCCCTGGGTTTCTTTTTTCCTTATACCAGAATGGATACTAGTCAAATTGGCAACTCAGAAACACCAATGGGCACAGACAAGAAGGTGAAACAGAAAAGCCCCCCAAAACCTACTCTAACCAAGATAAGGGGCATCCGAGCAATACTGAAAACTTTTAGGCAACAACCTATTCCAGTCAAACACCACGGATAAAAACTGCAGCCACTTCATACCCCCATCAGCAAAAGTAGACAGTCTAAACTACTCTTGTCAGGCCGTAATCCCAAATGGCCCTAACCAAGGTGGTGTCAGAGAAGACCAAGTGGGAAGCTGGGAATTTTATTCTGAGTCCAGAATTTCATCCATACCCAGCAGTAACAAGGAACCTCACCCTCTCCTTGTTGGAGAGGTATCAGACACCCAGTGGGAGAGGCAGGACTTTCACCACTCAATAATAATGAGAGCAAGCCCTCATAGAGTCAGTTAAGACCATGTATTAGTCTGGTGTTCCTTCACCATGCTGCGGTAACAGTGAACTCCTTCGTATTCCCCATGGGGTGGTATCAGAGACTAGTACACTTCTGACTTCCCTACTGCTCAAGGGTAACATGACTACCTTCCCACATCAGTGTAACAGACAGATAGCACTAACAAAATGCCCTCCCCCTCCCAAATTGGATGGTATTAGCAAAGGCCTCGTGGGAAACCTGAACTCTCACCTCTGCCCAGCAGAAACAAGGGCAGACAGCCCTCTCCTTCCCCATCACTGGTTGTTGACAGAGGTTAAGAGAACCAGAACTTCTACCCACACAAGCAGTAACAAGACAATGAATACCATGTTTCATCCACCAGAATGGTATCAAAGAAGTCCTATGCCAGCACAATAATTAAGATCGTCTTGTAACATAATACCCAAAGTGCCCAGGTTTCAATAAAAAATCACTCATCATACCAAAAATCAATTAAGATCTCAAACTGAATAAAAAACAAATGTTAACACAAAGATGGCATGTTAGAATCAAACAAGGATTTCAAAGCAGCCATCATAAAATACGTGTAATTATAAACCATTTGAAACAAATGGAAGAAAATAGAAAGTCACAGCAAAGATATAGAAGGTAAATGGAACTTTGAGAACTAACCAGCAAAAACTCAGTGGGTCAACAGAATGGGAAAGACAGAGGTAACAGAGGAAACAATCAGCGAATTAGAACATAGAAATTACCCAACTTAAACAAGAGAAAATAGACCAAAAAACAAAAATAAAAAACAGGCCTCAGGAATTTATGGAATTTAAAAAAAAAACCTTACATTTGTGTCTTCGTGGACCCAGAAGGAGAGGAGAAAGGAAATGCAGCCAAAAGTATTCAAAAACACAACGGCTGAAAATTTCCCAAATCTGGCAATAAACACAAAGATTCAGAGTGACCGCCAAACACAATACACCCAAAGAAATTTGTGCCAAGACACATCATAGCCAAACTTCTAAAAAACAACAGAAAAATCTCGAAAGTTGCCAGAGAAATAATGCATTACCTATGTAAGAAAAACATTTTGAGTTTCAGCAGTTTCATCAGAAAGCATGGAAGCTAGAAGGAACTGATACATTTTTCAAGCGCTAAAAGAACTGTTAACCCAGAATTCTACAGCCAGCAAAAAACTTGCTTCAAGAATTAAGTGAAAATCAAGGCTTCTCAGATGAAGGAAACTGAGAAACTTTGTCACCAGCAGACCTACCCTAAAAGAATAACAAGTTCTCTAAATAGAACATAAATGATAAAAATAAAAATTACAAAACAATGATGAAGAAATCAACTATGTAAATGAATGTAGAAATACTCCATATCCCTGGATTGGAAGATTCAACTTAGTAAAGATGTCAATTCTCCCCATATTGATAAACATATTTAATGTAATTCCTAACAAAATTTCAGCAAGATTTTTTTTGTAGCTACAAACAAGATTATTCTAAAATGTACATGAAAAGGCAAAGAAACTACAAAAGCCAAATCAATTCTGAAGAATAACCAAGAGAAATTACCTGATTTCAATACCAATTATTCAGCCAGTCATAAAGGCTATGTATATTATTGGGGGAAGGACTGAACTACATCAATGGAATATAGAGGACCCAGGAGCAGTCCACACAACTATGAACAACGGATTAATGACACAAGTGCAACAAATTCAGTGGAGGAAAAGACCCTTTGCAAAAAAAAAAAAAAAAAATGGTGCTGAAACAATTATTCATAAACACACACACAAAAAATGAATCTTGACCTAAACCTCACACCTTATGTAAAAGTTAACTGAAAATAGGTCCAAGATTTAAATGTAAAACAAACTATAAAATGTGTTAAAAAAATAAGAGAAAATATTCAGGACCTAGGGCGTGGGAAACAGTTCTTAAACATTATAGCACTAGAATGAAAAGAAAAATTGGACTTCATTAAAATTAAAAAGCTGATCTTCAAAAAGACCCTGTTATTAGAATAAAAGGTATGCAATAGAATAGAAAATATCTGCAAACCATATATGACAAATGCCCTCATACCTAAAATAAAGAACTCTCAAAATTCAGGATTAAGAAAATATCCAAAAAGAAATGACACTTAACTGGAGAAAAAATGGATTGCGAAGAAAAAAATGATGGCACATATGAAAACAGACATCATTAGTATGTGATGCAAATTAAAATTAGAAACCATGATAAGACATACTCCTATTGAAACTAAAATAAAAAAGTAACAAAATGTGAGAATGTGAAGAAAGATTTCTCAAATCAAACTACTAATGGGAATGTAAAATGGTAAAGCCAGTCTGGAAAACAGTTTTAAAACTAAACATGTATTTACCATTTGGTCCAACAATCACAGTCTTGGGAATTTACCTCAGTGAAATGAAAACCTGTATCTGTATAAAAACTTGTACACAATTGTTCGTATCAGCTTTATTTAACAGCCAAAACTGGAAATAATCAAAATGCCCCTCAATGGATGAATAGTTACACAAACTGTGGTAAATACCACGGAATATGACTCAGTAATAAAAAGGAACAAACTGCTACATGCAACAACTTCATGGATCTCAAGGAAGTTATGCTGAGTTAAAACAACAAATCCCCAGAAGTCATATGATTCCATCAAAATGACAAAATTATAGAGATGGAGAATAGATCAGTGGTTGCCAGGATTTAGGTATAGTGGGAGCAGGGTAGGCGGGAAGAGGCCATAGGAGTCTCAGTGGAATTTATAAAAGGACAACATGAAAGAGAACTCTGTGGTAATGAAATAATAGTTCTCCCTCTTGTCATGCTGGGTACACAAATCTACACATGTGATAAAATGGTACAGAATTACATACATACTGTACTGATTTCAAATTCCTGGTTTTGATATTGTACTATAATTTCTAAGATGTAACCACTGGGGGAAAATGGGATGTAGAGTACATGGGGATCTCTCTACTATCTTTGCAATCTATGATTATTTCAAAATAAAAAATTAAAAATAATAACTCTTAGATGATATACAATAGACTTTTAAAGGCTTCCTTAAGGGAAATAAAATATCTCTTAAATATGTGTGCCTTGAGGAAAATAAGTCAGTTTACTCCATAAATTTTTTTTTGGTTTGGGAAGGGAGATGAGTTTTTGGTGATGTTTACTGTTGAACAGTTACATAACATAAAAGAAGATTACATCGCTTATGCAAAGGCATTAAAGAGTTAAATACATAAACTGTACCTAGATTTCACTGTACTTATCTTTCTTCAAATTAAATTGATTCCATAGTTTGTTGTGGCTAAATCTAAATCCTTATAAATTCTATGAAATATATCTCTTCAAGCTACTTAATGCAGTAAGATTTCATTTTGATATGTAAAACATTTACAATACCAACAAAATAGAAATAAAAGGAACTAGAGGCCACTTGAAATGAATGAAACATAATGCCTCAAAAAAAAAAAAAGTTACATGGTCCTACATGCTTGAGATATTTCAATACTGGTAAAAAAAAATATACAAATACACACATACCTCTACTAACCAAGTTTAATAATACACAATATTAGCTGAAAACATAAAAACTGCTTTCACAATCTGTCACCACCTAAAACAATACACCATATAATTTTCAAAATTGTGTTCTTTGACTTCTAACCTCTGCTCTTCTTTAGAATTACCTGTGAGGGGGGAAAAAAATGAAGATTCATATTATGCCTATGGCAAATAAAACATAATTCCTCAACAAAAAGTTAAATAGTCCTATGTGCATAATACACAACACTGAATTTGTAAGATCAATTTGGAAGGTGATTAGGGAATCTTTTGCCTTATACTTGGTCTTGACTTCTCAATCTACTTCTCTCAAAGAATGTGAAACATGCCTATATTCTCAAAATCTAGTTTTAGGAACACTTATTAATGTCTTCTACTCTAAGCCAAAAGTATCCAGATTAATGGTTCCCAGCTTGAGGTCTGTAGACAATTTAGTAGTCCAGAAGTTTAAAAATGTTCAAAAACTTAAAGTACTATTATAAACAAGGTATTTAACAACCATAAAGCAAAACAAATCCACTCCAGCACCAACTTTCTCATGTATTAGCTGGACTTACATTACCTTAGAAACCAAGACTAGTCATCTTAAACTGGAAAACTTGTTAGGTAGACAAGTTTCAAAACATACAGCCCATGACAGAAATAAAACAAGATCTTTAGTTATAAAAGACAGGAATCATTAGACCAGAACATAACCAAATTGTTTTTAAAAAACTGGTCTTCCTTTGGGTAAGCACGCTTATAACTTATTAATAAAAACAAAAAAACTCTAAATTTAAAACATACACCCTTCAAGCTCTTAAGCCTTGCTTTACTTGGAGAAAAATACTTAAATTGACTTAGAAATTTGTTAGGATGCTTACTAATGCAAAAAATTTTATGACCCCTAAAAAAATGCCAGGTCATGCACATTTCTAGGCTTCCACAAAGGCCATCAAAGATAAAAATAGGTCTATACGCTAGGTCAGTACTTCCCTGCTCTACAAAATGATAGGTGGTTTATATACTCAAAACTTTTAAGTGTTAAATTAAATGAAGTTCAATATGTATCCTTACTGCTCTACTTCTCATAACCTTTCATAACTTTACATAATTATAGTTACATAAAAAAGATAATCAGATTGTGGAAAGCTGGATAAAGGGACATGGGAACTCTTTATTTTTTCACCTCCTACATGTCTATAATTATTTGAAAATAAAAAAATAGTAAAACTCTACAAAGAAATGGACTGTAAAAATGTTTCTCCTACATCATCCCCAAGTAAACCACGGTTGCCAATTTCTTCCATATTCTTACAGAAACAAGCTCTTTATATACAATACATTGAGACTATTCAAGGAAGAATAGTATGGTATCTAAACTAATCGGACCCCCAAAGCTTTTCGTGATGGGACATCTAATAACGTCAAGTGGAAACATACAATTTGGAGAATGTATTTGGGAAAAATTCTGCCCTAGGCATCACATTCTTAAATCATAAAGAAACACCAGTGAGAAGCCATCTCCTCTGCTTATTTAAGAGATTTGATTCATAAGTATCTCAAATCTCAAAGACAAGGTTAGAAAAACAAGTACTTAGGTGATTAGGAAAACTGTAATGATCAAGAATAAAGTTTTGATAAATTTCAAGGTGATTAAACTTTTGCTATACATTATAGCCTACTACCTATCAGACAGCAAACATTCATTTTCCCCTAAATTGTGATAAAGCAGGGGCCATGAATCTATCAGTAATCTATAAGATATATAAAAAATAAAAATAAATCTAACTCCATAATTAAAATCCACTAACATGAAAACAAAAACATCAACCCAGTTAACAAAGCTGAGCAAGGAATCTAAATCAGGCAGAGCTGGTGAACCAGGTGACACTTTTTAAGTTAATTCTTCCTCAAGAAAAGAAAGTAGGATTTTACCTTTGCTGCAGCCTGTACATGCTCCTTTTTGATGACTCCACACTTATTCTCAAAAGCATTTGTCCTGGACTCTTCTGCTAATCGACGAACAAACAGTAAACAGTTCAAATGCATCTTTAAGAGACAAAATTCGTTGAGAATTTTAAACTCCAACATTGGTGCTTTGAAATAATGACTTTTAAAAATAAAAGATCCCAAAGTTTAATGTTGTACTATTTACTACTGTGATTAAGTCAATTAACTTCTATTTAAAGGAACACAAAATTCTGTTTAACATAGGGTCCATCTTAGATTCCCTGCAAAAGAGACTTAGTTATTGCAATATATGAGAAAAGACTATGTAAGGCCAACAAAGGCCACAGTCAGTAACATTGTAAAGCATCATTATATCAAAACTTATCTGGGACTATCACACCACAAATTCCTGCTTCGCATTCCAAATAAATTTAAATTTATAATGTAATTTAAAATGTCCCCAAAATTTAAAATCAAAACATACGGACAACTTTACTTAAGGCAAATCATCTCTCATTCTACAATCCAAGGTCTAAAGATTTTTTTAACCAGATATTTAATTTGAAATAGCTATTCAAAAACATTAATAATTGAAATTCTAAGTTTACTGAATTGAAAAGTATATGTATAGAAGTCAAGTTACTTGTCATCCAACAATATCAAAACAATATTTACTATTAATAATCTTTAAGTCTCTTAAGAAATTACTTAAAATATATAAGTAGACAGTACAAAATTTAAAAGTCCATGAAGGACTGTGGTTATGTGACATGTTAGCATTGTGGGAAGATGGGTAAAAGGTATATAGGGATTCTCTATTATTTTTGCCACTTCTTGTGTATCTGTAATTATGGCAAAATAAAAATATAAAGCAAAAGAGTCTACAAAAAGGTAAATTGTCAAAAAGAGTCCCCTTCCACATTATCCCCCAGTCATCCATGGTTACCCATTTCTTGCATATTTTTACTTTACTTTACATATAAGTATATTACTTGACACACACACACACACACACACACACACAATTTAACCTATCTACATAAGTACATGAGCATTTTGCTAAGTAATTAACTCAAAAGTCACCACCCAAACCAAAAAGTGCTATTCAATCTACATTCACACATCTTGAAAACAGTTAAACTAGTGCACAAAATTCAAGCAAGAGAATGTAATCACAAGGCTTCTTGTCAGCAACAAGCTATAAAGTTTTGTAGGTGTCAAAAGTTAGACCCAGATTTCTGACTATACAGTGGATTGGCTTCCTTAACCCCTGTGTGGTTCAAGGGTCAATTGAATTAATAAAATATTTCACTTAGCTCCTCAACTTCCTTTACGTCTTTTTCTTAAATAACTACTGGGACTCCCACTTTCAAGTAGAGCAACTGTACTGTTCTTCTTGCCAAGTTCAACTATAAACTTTGGATATATATATATAAAACAAATATAAGGAGACTGAAAAGTTGACTGAACATAGCAGACTAGATAGGAACTTCAGACCAATGGAAAAAAATAATGGTGAGTTCCCTGGGTTTCTTTTTTCCTTATACCAGAATGGATACTAGTCAAATTGGCAACTCAGAAACACCAATGGGCACAGACAAGAAGGTGAAACAGAAAAGCCCCCCAAAACCTACTCTAACCAAGATAAGGGGCATCCGAGCAATACTGAAAACTTTTAGGCAACAACCTATTCCAGTCAAACACCACGGATAAAAACTGCAGCCACTTCATACCCCCATCAGCAAAAGTAGACAGTCTAAACTACTCTTGTCAGGCCGTAATCCCAAATGGCCCTAACCAAGGTGGTGTCAGAGAAGACCAAGTGGGAAGCTGGGAATTTTATTCTGAGTCCAGAATTTCATCCATACCCAGCAGTAACAAGGAACCTCACCCTCTCCTTGTTGGAGAGGTATCAGACACCCAGTGGGAGAGGCAGGACTTTCACCACTCAATAATAATGAGAGCAAGCCCTCATAGAGTCAGTTAAGACCATGTATTAGTCTGGTGTTCCTTCACCATGCTGCGGTAACAGTGAACTCCTTCGTATTCCCCATGGGGTGGTATCAGAGACTAGTACACTTCTGACTTCCCTACTGCTCAAGGGTAACATGACTACCTTCCCACATCAGTGTAACAGACAGATAGCACTAACAAAATGCCCTCCCCCTCCCAAATTGGATGGTATTAGCAAAGGCCTCGTGGGAAACCTGAACTCTCACCTCTGCCCAGCAGAAACAAGGGCAGACAGCCCTCTCCTTCCCCATCACTGGTTGTTGACAGAGGTTAAGAGAACCAGAACTTCTACCCACACAAGCAGTAACAAGACAATGAATACCATGTTTCATCCACCAGAATGGTATCAAAGAAGTCCTATGCCAGCACAATAATTAAGATCGTCTTGTAACATAATACCCAAAGTGCCCAGGTTTCAATAAAAAATCACTCATCATACCAAAAATCAATTAAGATCTCAAACTGAATAAAAAACAAATGTTAACACAAAGATGGCATGTTAGAATCAAACAAGGATTTCAAAGCAGCCATCATAAAATACGTGTAATTATAAACCATTTGAAACAAATGGAAGAAAATAGAAAGTCACAGCAAAGATATAGAAGGTAAATGGAACTTTGAGAACTAACCAGCAAAAACTCAGTGGGTCAACAGAATGGGAAAGACAGAGGTAACAGAGGAAACAATCAGCGAATTAGAACATAGAAATTACCCAACTTAAACAAGAGAAAATAGACCAAAAAACAAAAATAAAAAACAGGCCTCAGGAATTTATGGAATTTAAAAAAAAAACCTTACATTTGTGTCTTCGTGGACCCAGAAGGAGAGGAGAAAGGAAATGCAGCCAAAAGTATTCAAAAACACAACGGCTGAAAATTTCCCAAATCTGGCAATAAACACAAAGATTCAGAGTGACCGCCAAACACAATACACCCAAAGAAATTTGTGCCAAGACACATCACAGCCAAACTTCTAAAAAACAACAGAAAAATCTTGAAAGTAGCCAGAGAAATAATGCATTACCTATGTAAGAAAAACATTTTGAATTTCAGCAGTTTCATCAGAAAGCATGGAAGCTAGAAGGAACTGATACATTTTTCAAGCGCTAAAAGAACTGTTAACCCAGAATTCTACAGCCAGCAAAAAACTTGCTTCAAGAATTAAGTGAAAATCAAGGCTTCTCAGATGAAGGAAACTGAGAAACTTTGTCACCAGCAGACCTACCCTAAAAGAATAACAAGTTCTCTAAATAGAACATAAATGATAAAAATAAAAATTACAAAACAATGATGAAGAAATCAACTATGTAAATGAATGTAGAAATACTCCATATCCCTGGATTGGAAGATTCAACTTAGTAAAGATGTCAATTCTCCCCATATTGATAAACATATTTAATGTAATTCCTAACAAAATTTCAGCAAGATTTTTTTTGTAGCTACAAACAAGATTATTCTAAAATGTACATGAAAAGGCAAAGAAACTACAAAAGCCAAATCAATTCTGAAGAATAACCAAGAGAAATTACCTGATTTCAAGACCAATTATTCAGCCAGTCATAAAGGCTAGTATATTATTGGGGGAAGGACTGAACTACATCAATGGAATATAGAGGACCCGGGAACAGTCCACACAACTACGAACAACGGATTAATGACACAAGTGCAACAAATTCAGTGGAGGAAAAGACCCTTTGCAAAAAAATGGTGCTGAAACAATTATTCATAAACACACACACAAAAAATGAATCTTGACCTAAACCTCACACCTTATGTAAAAGTTAACTGAAAATAGGTCCAAGATTTAAATGTAAAACAAACTATAAAATGTGTTAAAAAAATAAGAGAAAATATTCAGGACCTAGGGCGTGGGAAACAGTTCTTAAACATTACAGCACTAGAATGAAAAGAAAAATTGGACTTCATCAAAATTAAAAACCACTGATCTTCAAAAAGACCGTTAATAGAATAAAAGGTATGCAATAGAATAGAAAATATCTGCAAACCATATATGACAAATGCCCTCATACCTAAAATAAAGAACTCTCAAAATTCAGGATTAAGAAAATATCCAAAAAGAAATGACACTTAACTGGAGAAAAAATGGATTGCGAAGAAAAAAATGATGGCACATATGAAAACAGACATCATTAGTATGTGATGCAAATTAAAATTAGAAACCATGATAAGACATACTCCTATTGAAACTAAAATAAAAAAGTAACAAAATGTGAGAATGTGAAGAAAGATTTCTCAAATCAAACTACTAATGGGAATGTAAAATGGTAAAGCCAGTCTGGAAAACAGTTTTAAAACTAAACATGTATTTACCATTTGGTCCAACAATCACAGTCTTGGGAATTTACCTCAGTGAAATGAAAACCTGTATCTGTATAAAAACTTGTACACAATTGTTCGTATCAGCTTTATTTAACAGCCAAAACTGGAAATAATCAAAATGCCCCTCAATGGATGAATAGTTACACAAACTGTGGTAAATACCACGGAATATGACTCAGTAATAAAAAGGAACAAACTGCTACATGCAACAACTTCATGGATCTCAAGGAAGTTATGCTGAGTTAAAACAACAAATCCCCAGAAGTCATATGATTCCATCAAAATGACAAAATTATAGAGATGGAGAATAGATCAGTGGTTGCCAGGATTTAGGTATAGTGGGAGCAGGGTAGGCGGGAAGAGGCCATAGGAGTCTCAGTGGAATTTATAAAAGGACAACATGAAAGAGAACTCTGTGGTAATGAAATAATAGTTCTCCCTCTTGTCATGCTGGGTACACAAATCTACACATGTGATAAAATGGTACAGAATTACATACATACTGTACTGATTTCAAATTCCTGGTTTTGATATTGTACTATAATTTCTAAGATGTAACCACTGGGGGAAAATGGGATGTAGAGTACATGGGGATCTCTCTACTATCTTTGCAAATTTATTTTGCTGTCTATGATTATTTCAAAATTAAAAGTTAAAAATAATAACTCTTAGATGATATACAATAGGTTTTTAAAGGCTTCCTTAAGGGAAATAAAATATCTATTAAATATGTGTGCCTTGAGGAAAATAAGTCAGTTTACTCCATAAATTTTTTTTTGGTTTGGGAAGGGAGATGAGTTTTTGGTGATGTTTACTGTTGAACAGTTACATAACATAAAAGAAGATTACATCGCTTATGCAAAGGCATTAAAGAGTTAAATACATAAACTGTACCTAGATTTCACTGTACTTATCTTTCTTCAAATTAAATTGATTCCATAGTTTGTTGTGGCTAAATCTAAATCCTTATAAATTCTATGAAATATATCTCTTCAAGCTACTTAATGCAGTAAGATTTCATTTTGTATATGTAAAACATTTACAATACCAACAAAATAGAAATAAAAGGAACTAGAGGCCACTTGAAATGAATGAAACATAATGCCTCAAAAAAAAAAAAAGTTACATGGTCCTACATGCTTGAGATATTTCAATACTGGTAAAAAAAAATATACAAATACACACATACCTCTACTAACCAAGTTTAATAATACACAATATTAGCTGAAAACATAAAAACTGCTTTCACAATCTGTCACCACCTAAAACAATACACCATATAATTTTCAAAATTGTGTTCTTTGACTTCTCTTTTTTTGACTTCTAACCTCTGCTCTTCTTTAGAATTACCTGTGAGGGGGGAAAAAAATGAAGATTCATATTATGCCTATGGCAAATAAAACATAATTCCTCAACAAAAAGTTAAATAGTCCTATGTGCATAATACACAACACTGAATTTGTAAGATCAATTTGGAAGGTGATTAGGGAATCTTTTGCCTTATACTTGGTCTTGACTTCTCAATCTACTTCTCTCAAAGAATGTGAAACATGCCTATATTCTCAAAATCTAGTTTTAGGAACACTTATTAATGTCTTCTACTCTAAGCCAAAAGTATCCAGATTAATGGTTCCCAGCTTGAGGTCTGTAGACAATTTAGTAGTCCAGAAGTTTAAAAATGTTCAAAAACTTAAAGTACTATTATAAACAAGGTATTTAACAACCATAAAGCAAAACAAATCCACTCCAGCACCAACTTTCTCATGTATTAGCTGGACTTACATTACCTTAGAAACCAAGACTAGTCATCTTAAACTGGAAAACTTGTTAGGTAGACAAGTTTCAAAACATACAGCCCATGACAGAAATAAAACAAGATCTTTAGTTATAAAAGACAGGAATCATTAGACCAGAACATAACCAAATTGTTTTTAAAAAACTGGTCTTCCTTTGGGTAAGCACGCTTATAACTTATTAATAAAAACAAAAAAACTCTAAATTTAAAACATACACCCTTCAAGCTCTTAAGCCTTGCTTTACTTGGAGAAAAATACTTAAATTGACTTAGAAATTTGTTAGGATGCTTACTAATGCAAAAAATTTTATGACCCCTAAAAAAATGCCAGGTCACGCACATTTCTAGGCTTCCACAAAGGCCATCAAAGATAAAAATAGGTCTATACGCTAGGTCAGTACTTCCCTGCTCTACAAAATGATAGGTGGTTTATATACTCAAAACTTTTAAGTGTTAAATTAAATGAAGTTCAATATGTATCCTTACTGCTCTACTTCTCATAACCTTTCATAACTTTACATAATTATAGTTACATAAAAAAGATAATCAGATTGTGGAAAGCTGGATAAAGGGACATGGGAACTCTTTATTTTTTCACCTCCTACATGTCTATAATTATTTGAAAATAAAAAAATAGTAAAAACTCTACAAAGAAATGGACTGTAAAAATGTTTCTCCTACATCATCCCCAAGTAAACCACGGTTGCCAATTTCTTCCATATTCTTACAGAAACAAGCTCTTTATATACAATACATTGAGACTATTCAAGGAAGAATAGTATGGTATCTAATCGGACCCCCAAAGCTTTTCGTGATGGGACATCTAATAACGTCAAGTGGAAACATACAATTTGGAGAATGTATTTGGGAAAAATTCTGCCCTAGGCATCACATTCTTAAATCATAAAGAAACACCAGTGAGAAGCCATCTCCTCTGCTTATTAAGAGATTTGATTCATAAGTATCTCAAATCTCAAAGACAAGGTTAGAAAAACAAGTACTTAGGTGATTAGGAAAACTGTAATGATCAAGAATAAAGTTTTGATAAATTTCAAGGTGATTAAACTTTTGCTATACATTATAGCCTACTACATATCAGACAGCAAACATTCATTTTCCCCTAAATTGTGATAAAGCAGGGGCCATGAATCTATCAGTAATCTATAAGATATATAAAAAATAAAAATAAATCTAACTCCATAATTAAAATCCACTAACATGAAAACAAAAACATCAACCCAGTTAACAAAGCTGAGCAAGGAATCTAAATCAGGCAGAGCTGGTGAACCAGGTGACACTTTTTAAGTTAATTCTTGCTCAAGAAAAGAAAGTAGGATTTTACCTTTGCTGCAGCCTGTACACGCTTCTTTTTGATGACTCCACACTTATTCTCATAAGCATCTGTCCTCGACTCTCCTGCTAACCGACGAACAAACAGTAAACAGTTCAAATGCATCTTTAAGAGACAAAATTCGTTAAGAATTTTAAACTCTAACATTGGTGCTTTGAAATCATGACTTTTAAAAATAAAAGATCCCAAAGTTTAATGTTGTACTATTTACTACTGTGATTAAGTCAATTAACTTCTATTTAAAGGAACACAAAATTCTGTTTAACATAGGGTCCATCTTAGATTCCCTGCAAAAGAGACTTAGTTATTGCAATATATGAGAAAAGACTATGTAAGGCCAACAAAGGCCACAGTCAGTAACATTGTAAAGCATCATTATATCAAAACTTATTTGGGACTCTTATCACATCACAGATTCCCGCTTCCCATTCCAAATAAATTTAAATTTATAATGTAATTTAAAATGTCCCCAAAATTTAAAATCAGAACATATCAACAACTTTACTTAAGGCAAATCATCTATCGTTCTACAATCCAAGGTCTAAAGATTTTTTTAACCAGATATTTAATTTGAAATACCTATTCAAAAACATACTAATAATTGAAATTCTAAGTTTACTGAATTGAAAAGTATATGTATAGAAGTCAAGTTACTTGTCATCCAACAATATCAAAACAATATTTACTATTAATAATCTTTAAGTCTCTTAATAAATTACTTAAAATATATAAGTAGACAGTACAAAATTTAAAAGTCCATGAAGGACTGTGGTTATGTGACATGTTAGCATTGTGGGAAGATGGGTAAAAGGTATATAGGGATTCTCTATTATTTTTGCCACTTCTTGTGTATCTGTAATTATGGCAAAATAAAAATATAAAGCAAAAGAGTCTACAAAAAGGTAAATTGTCAAAAAGAGTCCCCTTCCACATTATCCCCCAGTCATCCATGGTTACCCATTTCTTGCATATTTTTACTTTACTTTACATATAAGTATATTACTTGACACACACACACACACACACACACACACAATTTAACCTATCTACATAAGTACATGAGCATTTTGCTAAGTAATTAACTCAAAAGTCACCACCCAAACCAAAAAGTGCTATTCAATCTACATTCACACATCTTGAAAACAGTTAAACTAGTGCACAAAATTCAAGCAAGAGAATGTAATCTGAGCTGCAGTCCTATCTCAATTCTCCCTCCAGGATCACATCTAGTGCTCTTCTATTCAAATTATTGGTAACATCTTCCCCATCCTTTGCTTCTATCAGATACCTGAAGTCACTATCAACTTAGATCCAAAAAAGTATTATCTTTAAACATACAATCTCTTTGGTCATTTACTTAATAGTACACACACTTTACAGTTAGAACAATATACAAAACCTAATTCACTATCTTTTGTACTGCACACAGCCACTCCCCCACAGTTCATTAAATGTTAACTAGGTAATGTGGTGCTTTAAATTACTTATATTATGCAGAAACCTTAAGTTGACTGTTACAGATGTTTAAGAATGCTTTAGTAATTATCTGGTGAAAATAGGGGTTTGGAATTTAAATTTAATCAGACAAAAGAATTTACCGATGGAGATATTCTTTTGGTACTTTTTTGATGTACTGTTTTCTTTAATTCTCACAAAAACTATGAGATAAAACACCCTATTCAAATTCTTTATATTATACCACATCAGTTTTTTTTTCAAGCTTTCAATGATTATCACCATTTCCTTTGCAACAAAAACTATTCCATAATATGGCACAATTGCCTCTGTTAATCTGTATTTTCTATTTCTAAAGATAGCTTCCAGATGCCCTCAGAATAAATTCTTTAATACTGAACACCACTTGACAAGCTTTTCCAGTTTCACCTCACTTTTCTCAGGTTCCACTTCTATACTAGGTCTTCTGACCTTCTTTCAGGATTCAAATGCAACCCAGCCTACTGACATTCTACTGGTTTGTAAACTCTGAGAAGTCCAACCCCCACCTCCACCACCAGTATGTAAGGTTATGTAGATCCATGGCACCCTGAGCTTCCTATCACCATACACTGTCCTCCTCGATATAGTATAATGACAAAAACTATGTCTATCTCCTCAACATTGTATCCCGAGTGACCTTTAGCCCATGGCCAGTATATAGCAGATAGTCAATAATTATTATTGCATGAACAAAGATACCTCCACATTTCCCCAAATTAGGCAAAAAGTTTTTAAGTCAATCCCACATAAACTACATTCTGTTTTGAGACTTGGCTCATGCTATTGACCTACATAGAAAGTCCTTTCCTCTTCGTGGGCATGAGCCATAGATACTAAAACAAATTAGTATTACTTTTTCTGATATCACAGCATTTTTTAAGCAACCCATTCTTCTGTCATAAACAGTTAACTGAGCAATGCCATTCAAGGTCACTAAGGTTTAAATTAAAATGATCAGAATAAAAGTTTAAGGTATTATGTAGGTATTCAAATTTCAAGAAGATAAGCCATTCCATCATGAATTTACTGTGGGGGGAAGGGGTTAGTTTGCTTGAAAGGTGAATCAAAACATAATTTACAAAGAAATACACATTTCTTTACAGTCTCAACTGATCAAAAGACTAAGCCAGCCTGACCTCTTCCTCCCTTCATCATAGCACTTTGAATTTTACATAGACCATAAGCACCCAAATATTTGCACAGCATTTTTCAGTGGTAACTAAAAACTAAATGAACCACGAGAAAGCTGAACAATTTATTTGAATTAACAGATGTACTCATTAGTACTCCCTGGGGATACACAATTAAATGAGGCATAAAACAAAAAGTCTGTGTAGAATAACTATGAACACAAGGAAATTATGAGTACAATATTTAGAAATAACAATCCATATATATGTATATCAAGCATTCCAAACACACACGGTGAATTCCCAGCATTAACTGTACACTCAGAATGTTTCAGGTATTACAAACACTAGGAACACAAAAAGTTCCCAATTCAAAGTTGCTAGTACAATGGGAGAACCAACCCATAAAAAAATTGGAGACAATGTGTGATGATAGATGACAGAGGAAGATAAAGTTGACCCTTTCTAATATTAAGGAAGGCTTAACTGAGAGTTGCACTTGAACTCGATTTTGAAAATGGTGTTTGCAAAGTGGAGTAGAGTGAGGACATCTTCAGGCAGAAGAAATATCATATATAAAAGAGAGCATGAAAGTTGATTACTTTTGTTGTTAAAAATAATGGTAGGCACAAAAGGAGACTGGTAAAGGTCCTTCCCCTCAAAAGGTTGCACAGCATTGAGGAAAAAAATGAAAGTGCCTGTGGCCAGGATTCTCACCTGGCCCTGGTTGGCTAGCTCACTAAACACATGTGGGCAATACGTTGCTATTGACTCTATATAAAGAGCTCCGCCCAGCGGTCTGGGCGACACGGTGGTATGGATGCAAGACTGCAGGACAGCGGAGCAGAAGCTGGAGTGGTGGCAGCACCGAAGACAGAGGCCCAGAGGCATGGCTGCAAGGGACGACTGTGCAGGCAGAGAGGCCCAGGGGACGGCTGTGTGGGACGGCTTTGCGGCTTTGCGGGCAGAGAAGCCCAAAGGCAGAGACCAGCTTGCTGCATGCAGAGTTGCTCTGAGTGAACGGGATTCTAGTGATTGACCTGCCACCATGGAAATATAGCTGGGTTTAACCCTTTCACCCCAAGATCCCTTTACTGTCATTTTCTTTGGCACATTGAATCCATAGGGAACTTGCCCGGGGCTGAAACCCATTAGCAAGACAGCATACTGGGAGACAACACTGACATGTGAAACTCTTAGAGAAGAGTAACAGAGTCCCAACAGCTAAATTGTTTGATGCACACTCTTGAAACTATCAAAGCTCAGAGATAAAAACTGACTACTTAACTGTAGAAAAGTTTAGGAATGATGTGGGCTACCTGCTGGGTAAGATTATGAAGTGTTCAAGGACAAGCAGAAAACTGTACGCCAAGAAACCAGGGTGATGCATGGTATCTACAAGACGATGGAAAAGAAATGAATACAATGAAAGCTAAAGACAAGCATACAAGGAATAGATAATGGCCAAAAGAACTTCCTTTCTCCTACTACTGCAACTGTTTGGAATCTCACCTCTCCTTTGTGCTACCACCTGGATCCTGCTCCATAATAGAATCCACCTGCCATCAGCTCACTTTGGGGCAGATAGGGGTAAATGTAGGAGGATTCTGACTACTTTAAGAAACTTGCCAATCTGCACCAGCTGGTAGTCTCCTAGATACTCTTGAGCAGGTACATTTATTCCCCCTCCATTTAGAATCCCAGCACCAGTGAAAACTCCAGAATAAATAACCTAAAAATGTTTTGCAAATCAATTCCACTTTAACCCAGCTTACTTGTTCCACCTTTACTACCACCATGGTAGGGGAATAGGAGTGTGCACAAAACAGTATATATTTTTTTACAGGGTCTAAGAAAGGACCAAAAAAAGAGAGCAGGAAATATTAGAAGGGCTACTTTTCCAAGGAAAAAAAAAAGTTTTGGCTTCAGACACCAAATAAAGGAAGAGTGAATACAATTCTACAGTAGTATAGAACAGTAAAGCAAGAAAACAATGTAGCTTAAGAACAGATGGAATTATGCATTCCGAAGACACTCTCCATGCCACATGCCTTTGTTAGCCAGTTTTTCATCTTGGCCTCCTGGTAATTAGGTGCCCACTTAACAATGCTCCTTTACTCAAAGGGCTCTGTGACAAGGACAGAAGGTGCCTATGGTTTAAACCTAGAGAAACAGTGTTCATCCTGCTGAAGGGTTGTATGTTCCAGGCATTCAACACAAACACTCCCAATTTATTTCAAAACAAATATTACACAGCGATATGGCTGTAGCTATTTATTAGGTGATGATACTGCAGGTATTATGAGTCAAAGTATTAGTGGTTTGGCTTGAAAACTGAATCGGCATTCTATTTGTCTCGGAAAACGAATACACAGTTCAAAGCATACTGCTTAAAAAGAAACTTTTGAATCAGGATTAAAGTAGTAAACTAAAGTAGAATAGGGATATGTTTGATTAACGACGCAAAAACAGGGGGAAAAGAGGAAGGCAAGGAGAGGCACTTAAAACGCATGGCAGTAACGCCTTTTACAACAGTTAAAAATAACCCAGCCTGAATTCCAAAACCTATTTTAAGATTGTATCTTTCACACTTTTCCCCTGACTGTGCTCTAAAATAGTGATGTTTAAAAGCTATAAGCAGGAGCTTCGTTTTCTCCTTAATTGATGAGGCTAATAGCGTCCGGTTAAAAAACAAAACAAAACAAAACGTACATTTCAGAGAGCCCCTGTATACACAACTAAGCGTCAGGAATCTGGGCCGCCACGCCAGCCCGGGGCAAACCTGCCTAATCATGCAGGCCTGAAAGCTATCCCTGCGCGGGGCGGCGAAAGGCACGCCTGGGTTATTTTCCCTACCTCCTCCTGCCCCACTCCCAGCCCCACCAGGGAAACAATCTCACCAGTAAGTCGCCTCTTGACTCTAGACGAAGGTGAGGCTTCCATCGCTTGAAGACGCGCTTTAGAAAGCCGCGGGGAGCCTTCCGCTTTATCCGCTTTCTCTGGGAGACTGTCGCGGACAGAGCCATCCTCTCGCTCAGGCTCCAGCCGCCTTAGCTTCCGAGATCCCCCAGCACCGAGCCGGGGTTCGCGCCCGCTGGAACAACTAGAACAACGCGGCCGCTCAAGCGCTCCCTCCGGCCCGGAGATCCCGACTGGAACATTCGAATCCGCCGCCAATGGAGCGCGCCCGGCGCTCGGTAGTGACGTCAGCCCGCGTGAGCTCCGCCCCCGGAGGCGCCCGGCTGTTGGTAGAATACACCCACCCTGGGCGCCGCGGTCTGCGACGGAGAGCGGAGGCTACCTTTCGTCGCCTACTGTGTTGTAGCTGCCCTACTGAACTATTTCTCCTATGTTCCATAGACATGTTGGGAAATCGTGGGAAATGTTGGTATGCCAAGGCAGCTACACTTGCTGTCCAGGCTCTCACGCTATGCTGAGCCTAATATCCATGACTAAAAAGTAAATGAATAGAAGTTTGTGATGTTTTATCAAGATTCCGAAAGAAACAGTGCCTTCTTAGCAAGGCATGTTTTTCTGATATTGACAGCTAACACTTTACACCTTCACATAATTTCATCTGATCATACCCGAGGTCTTTTCATGATTCTAGCTTTTCTTGACAAATACTACTATCTTTAATTTTAAGGCCTTTGTCACTTAACTGCAAAACCTTCAACTGTAGTTTAAATGCTACCTCATTAAAATTCTTCCTATTTCTCCAAGCAATTAACTTTCCTATCTTCTGTGCTACCAGTACAAACAGTTCTCAAACTTCATCCTGTGTGTATCAGACAAAACCTCACCCAAGCGGTCTGGATGTGACTTGAGAACTTGCATTTCTAACAAGTACTCAGGCCATGTTGGCGCCGATAGTTGGAGTACCACTCTGAGATCACTGTGATTTTCCTCTAATACTATCCATGTAATAACTGTTGTGATTTCAATATTCACACAGATGTTCTTTCTGCTATCTGGCCTTCCATTTCCAAGCCCTCCCCTCTGCCAATAATCTCATCTTTCACCCTGTGAGCCACTCACACCTGTGGTCATGCATTGCCTCGTCATTATCAAATACCTTACATTTCCACATTCTCAATTCAGTTGTCTTACTCTTCAACCTCATCTCTGAGCTTTTGAACTCATTCTCTCCGGTATCCCAATTCTAACAATTCTTAGATGCCACTGGGATCACTGGGATCACTGGGAACAGAGGGAGGGGGAGGATCACACATGCATATTTATTACCAGTGCTCATTATCATCAATAATAATTGCTACTATTTATTAGGTGACAGGCACTGGGATATGGGTTTTAAATATATTTTTCTCTAACCTTCACCATAGCTGTGCAAAGTGATATCCCTGTTTCAGTGATGAGAAAACCAGGGCCCAAAGAAGCTTAAGTAGTTCACCCATGGTCATACAGCTAGAAAATGGAAAAGCCCAATTCAGATCCAGTTTTGTCTGATTTCAGAGCCCAAGTTCTTTACACGTTGTGCTGTTTCTGTTTTACCATATTTAGCTGGTGTCTTCTCAGTCTATGAAAGAGCTACTAAAGCGTTTCACACAATCTAACTAGTAGTGGGCTAAAAAGTAATGTAGGTGGGTGGAAACCAGAGAGCAGGATTCACAGAAGACTTTACATTCATCTGAATTTTTCATACCTTTTACAATGAAAATACTTTGTTTTAAAATTTTCTACTATTTAAAAGGATGTTTAAGTAGGATATGAGGGCAATAATTGCATTTATAATAAGTCCTTTCTTTTCCTCAAACCTCTGTACTCTCCCTACCCTGTCCTCACCCTCAGTTGATGACATTGCTTCACTAACAAAACAGAAGCACCCATAGCCTTTTCACATGCTCGCACTACCACACCTACACACCAGTCTCTACCTGCTCCCATGCATGAACCATCTACCTAAGATGGTTAACCACTCCACTTGTGCCCAAAATCTCAGTCCCCTACTCTTTTTGAGGATGTTCTCCAGTAATTCCTGTCTCTTCTATGTCATTAATTTTTCTTCTTTGCCAAAATTTTTTACATCTACACACACATGCTGTCTTATCTCCAACCTTTTAAAAACCCTTCATTGATCATGTCTTCAGCTCTTTCTCTTTCACAAAAAAAGTGGGAAGTGTTAGCTAAATTTGATGTTTCCAGGTCCTTTCCACCCATTACATTTGAAGCCACTCCCATCACATTGTTGAACCCAATTCTCCACCAAAATTGTTTTGGTCGACATGATTAATAACATAACACTTTTATATCCAGTGATCAGTTTTCAGGCTTCAATTTCTTTGACTAACCAGGAGTATTTGTTGGATTTTGCGATCTTTCCTTCAATAAATATTTTAATTGGATACTATTCTCTTGGTTTACCTCTTACCTGATGGCCCTTCAGACTCCTTTTCTGGTTCCTCCTTATATCTTTTATCTCTAAATCACAGAGTACTCTGAGACTTAATCCCCAGATTTCTTCTCTCTACACTCTCTCCTTATGTGATATTATGGCTTTAAATATCAAATTTACATTATCAGCTGATTCTCTTCCCTATTAACACAACCAGAATTAGCTCGGGTATGCGCCTATAACCCCAAACATGCTCCTCCCATCCACCTCTCTATGACACTTCCATATTTCCAATTACTCAAGCCAAAATCTTGAGATCAGCCCTGGCTCTTCTTTCTCTCAGCCCACATTCAGTCTTTCACCAAATTCTGCCTGTTCAACTTAAGAGTATCTGATCACTTTTGGCCCAGCCACCATCATGTCTCACTTGGATTACTGCAACACCCTTGCAGTGCTGGAGGATTTCAGCTCCTGGCAGGTTCACTCTGGATTTGGCAAGAATGAAAAACAACAACAAAGCATTGGGAAAAGGGTTCATACCTAGTTTTATTTTCCCAGCAGCTGGTTGAGCAATCGATTACATTGGCAGCATCCACATGCAGCAAGTCTGTAATCCACGGTCACAGAGCACTGGGAAGAGGCCCTTATATAGCAGCACAGACAATATCAGCTCATTGCCAACTTGTGTGTAAGCATGCACCTGCTCAGTAGGCCAAGTATTACATAAGCATGAGATAGCATTGCATTTGTGCAGTGGGTCCGATGAGCATCCTGTCTATGGGAATTTCCATTTTTCCCTACAACCCTCCTGATGGTGTCAGGAGAGCAATATTTGACTGAAGGCCAAAAATCCTAAAATCAAAGTATCAGAAGTGCTGCCTGCCTTCTGGAGGCTTTAGAGGAGAATCTGTTTCCTTGCCTTTCCAGCTTCTAGAGACTACTTCCATTCTCTGGCTCAAGGTCCCTTCCTCCCTCTTGAAAGCATATCACTCTATCATCTGTCAAATAGCACATCTTCTGACCCTGATCCTCTTGCCTTTCTCTTCTGAGAACGCTTGTTGTTATATTCAGCCCACCCACATAACCCAGGATAATTTTCCTGTCTTGTCAGTGGGTTTCATCCCTGAACAAGTTCATTATGGATTCAATGAGACTGAAAAAATGACAGTGGAACATTCTTAGGGTGAAAGAGTTATACTCAGCTTTATTCCCACAGTGGCAGGTCATCACTAGAATCCCATCCACTCAGAGCGAGTCTGCACACACCAAGCTGGTCTCTGCCTCTGGGCCCCTCTGCCCCCCATCCCCTACCCCCATCTCAGTCTCTCCTCAGCACTGCCACCATGGTCTTGAGCAAGCCGACCAGGGCCAGGTGAGAATCCTGGTCATAGGAACCTTCATTTTCTCCTCACCATAAAAGTTAGAATAATAAGTGGAGTATGAGAGTAACAATTTTATTTATCCCTGTAATGAAGCATGTCCCTACACATTATTTGTTCTCAATAAAACTATGATATTGGTAGGGGGTATGGATGTTATTATATCTATCTTACACTAAATTAAATAACCAAAAACCTTGAGTGGCCCAAAGTAAAAGAGTTTGTGTGGGTAATTTAAACCATTAATCCTGTTGTTTTAATTTGCCAATATGTTATACTGTCTTTAAGTGTAATGTAGGCATCTAAATTCAGCTTAATTCCTTTCCTGTAAGAACTTTACTTTTTATAGGTTTTCACCTTCACTTATTAAAGAGTCACAGAGTAAAACATTGGAAAATTTCATCACAACCTAAATTTTCAAAATGTTCTACTTTTCTTTTACTGTTTTTTAGTAATTGAAGCTCCTTTGATTCAAAGGGTGAGAAAGCACAAGACAGCTGTTGGAACCTTAGCCCACACAGCTAGAATATAGCCCCAAATCTGGAAGTGCCATGAGTGATGACAGCCCTTAACTCCAAATCCAGGGAAACAAAAAGGGAGTCTAGATAGGAAAGAGAAGATCTAGACAAGAATAGTATTGACATAAGAGGATAAATACATCTTTCTTTATCTCAATCAGTTCTTCAAATGTAAAATTTGCCCTAATGTAACATCTGCAAAGGGCTAGGACCCTTTGATACTGCTGTTTACTTTGGGAAAACAAAAGTAAAACTTGTTCAAGGAAAATTATTGCAAGATTTTTCTCATCTCACGTGATTCTAAGGAGTTGGTATACTTGAGAAACAATTTAAGCATATTAATTATTGAGAATTGTTGCCTTTTTTGTTGATGAAGTCTGTTGATGCTTGCTAAGATTTCTTTAAAAATAGTGATACATTTGTTTTTCAGAATCTACCCCAAGGAAATTATGCTAAATGTAAAATAAATTTTATGTACAGAAATTTTAAAATATTTATTAAAAAATTAGATCTAATATGTAAATTTGGGTACAAACATTCAGTTTATTATTATGGCTATATTAAAAGTGACATTTGTGAAACTTTTTAATAGCCTAGAAGGTCCATGTTAATGCCTATGTACCAAGTTAAATATAATATGATCCCAAGAATATTGAAATATGTATGTGTATGCACACACACACACACACACACACACAACACTGGGAAGAAATATACCAAATAGGAAGATAGCTTTTAGATAATGCAGATATAGATGATTTTCTAATTATTTTAAATGTTGTCCAATTTTCTGTGATAAATGTACTTTAAGAAAGAAATGAGATGTTTCATATTTTTGGCTAACTGATACTATATATAATTGTAAAAATTTACTCTATGAATTTAATTAAAGTATTTCTGTAAGAAAGTTATTTACCTAAGAAAAACTTTAGAAATTGATTTACTTTCT